GAGGAACGTGCGAGGCAGGACGATGGTGTGTATAGAAGAGAAGAACACGACGAGGAACGTCGAAGGCTGGGTACGAAAACAAAAAAACAAAAAAAAAGAACCTCCAAAAAAAAGCAAAGTAAAAAACCACCCACCAACTTGCAATAAAGCCCGCACGCATTACAATTCAGCTCGTCGTTCAAGCCCCTTCTCCACAGCGGCGTGTGCGTCGCCCCGCAGTTGCTGCACTCGGCCTTCACGCCCCCCGGCGCCGAATTCGCGTTCAGCACGCTCCCCGCCGCCTCGCCGCCGCCGCCGCCCACGCTGCTCGAAGCCGAAGTCGAATTGGAAGCCGAATTATTCGAGCCGCGAACCGGCGCGGAGGCGGTGGAGGTAGCGGACGACTGCGCGCGCCGCTGCGGCACCGCCCCCGGCGCGCGCATCGCCGGCACGCGCACGCTCAGCACGGGGCGCTTCGCGCGCTGCCCAGTCCCGCCCCCGCCCCCACCGCCGGCGGCGCTCGCGCGCCCCCGCCGCTTCCGCGCGCGCGCCGCGCTCAGCTCGAAGAAGTCGCTGTCCGCGCTGTCGTCCCCGCCGTCGTCCGAGCTCTCCGCCTCGGGCTCCGCCTCGATATCCATGTCCTCGTCCTCGTCCCCCATGGCTGCGTACCGCTGGTGGGCCCGGGAGGCGGTGTGCGCGTGGTGCGAGGCCGAGTGCGAGTGCGCGTGGGAGGCAGACGCGTGCGGCAGCCCCGCGCGCTGCGGCGCAGGACTATCCAGCTCCGCAAAGTACGCGTTCGGCGAGAGGTGCGGCGACAGCGGCGCCTCGTCCTCGTCCGCGCCCTCGCTGTCTACGCCCCCCGGCGCGGCTTTACGGGTGCCGGCGGGCGAGTGGAAGAACTGCGGGTCGAGCGTGCCGTTCCCGCTCGCGTGGTGGTGGTCGTTCGCGCCGATGTTGGCAGCAGGGGCGGCAGCGGAGGCGATGTTGGCAGCAGAGTTGGGAGTGGCGGCGGAGGCGGCGGCGCCCCCCATCCAGGTGACGTCGAACGCGCCCGCGCCCGCGCTGCGCATGATCTCGTCCCAGCCCGTCCACTCGCCTGCCTGCCCCATCCCATCCCCCACCTCTTGCTCGCCCACGCTCACGCCCACGCCCTGCTCCTCCCCCTCGTCCTCGCTCCCCTCGGCCCCGTCGCTATACCGCGCCTCGTCGAGCAGCTCGTCCAGCGGCAGCTCGATCGTCGGCCTTGCAATGCGCATCGCCTCGTCCCCGCCCCCGCCTTCGCCGGTATTATCGGAGGCGTAGTGCGAGTGCGCCTCGCCGTAGTTCATGCGCGGCGCGAGGGACGGCGCGGGGTAGAGCAGCGCCGCGGGGCCGAAGGACGTGCTGAAGAGCGTCGGGAGGCGCACGGAGGGCTTGCTGCGCTTGGCCGGCGCGGTCCCGTTCTCGTTCGTGTTCCCGTTCCCATTTCCGTTGGCAGTGGCGGTGGCGTCGGCGGCGGCGGAGGCGTCAGCGGCGGAAGTGAACGTCGTGTTGCTCATCGCGTTCCCATTCCCCGTGGCGCCGGTCGTGGCACCGGCGGTCGAGGAGGCGTTCGCGGAAGAAGCAGGCACGTCCACGGCGAACGTGAACTGCATGCGCTGGATGATGTGCTCGGGCGCGTGCACGCCCGCCTCGCGCGAGCGCTCCTTCTCCGCCGCGCGCGCGCGGAGGAGGTCCGTGCTGGGGTTGCGCGTGAAGGCGGGCGCGGGGAGCGTCTCGATCGAGCTGGGGGGGGACGTCAGTGTGTGGAGACAAGGGGGGTGAGAGGGGGTGGGGACGGGGCAGGAAGAGGATGAGAAGGGGCAGGGGTGGGGAAGGGAAGGGAAGGGGAACTGCGGGCGCGCATAGGTTCGCAGATAGCATCCCGGGAGGGGCGCCTGCGGCGTGGGACATGTATGCCCATGCGCCCGTAATGCGCATACATAGACGCATCGTCTCGTCCAGCCCACGCCCCAGGGCGTTTTCTTCTCCAGACCACGCGCCCCACGCGTAAAGAAGAGAGGAGGAAGAAGGGGAAACAGAGAGAGAGAAAACGCACCGGCCCTTCTCCTTGTCGAGCTTGTCGCCCATGCACTTTGAGAGCTTCTTGAACTCGCGCTTGGACTTTGCGTTATCCGTGTCGACCATGAGGTTCTGCAGGTGCCACAGGCTGCGCGCAAAAAAATTGAATTAGCATACGTGTGTAATGTGGGAGGCCAGGGGAAAAAAAAGGCGCATTGAGCGATGAGCACAATGGGCTCCTCGCGCCATAGGATGGAGGAGCTCTGAGCGCCACAAGCAGGTAGAGCCGCTGGGAAGAACGTCGGGGAAACGCCGCGCCGTGCCGGGGCCCAGGCGAGGCCAGGCAGGGAACGAAGGAACGTCGGGAGGAGCAAGACGAGAGAGACGCACCGCCATGACAGGTTCTCGAGGCGCTGCCCCTGCTCAAGGTAGCTTGCGACTTTGGTGCAGACCTAGGCGCGTTAATTAAGCATACACACACGAAAAAGAAGCGCGAAAAAAAGAATTGGTACAAAGACAAGTGCACGGAAAAAAGGTGGAAAATGAGAGGAAAGTAGGGGTAGGATGGAAACAGGCGTAAAAACGAAAAACGAAAAGCAAAGGAAGGGAGTGATATGATATGAAGGAAGCCAGCGCACCTTCCAGGTCTTGGTCAACGACTCGGTGTCATTGAGGTTGCTAAACGCCACAAAGGACTTGTTGCCCTACGCGCCAGCACACCACCACAACACAAGCACGACGAAAACAAAAGCAAAAACGAAGACACGATCAGCCGTGCTCCGTGCGCGCGCACACCAGGAACGCACTTTGAACTTGAGGTTGAGGATGGAGGGCATTCAGCGCGGGCGACTGTTCGTGAAGAGACTCTGCGGAGAGTCGTGGAGAGAGGAGAGGTAGGCAAGGTGGAAGCGTTAAGACGGAAACAGAAGACTTTTGGAAAAGGAAAGCCTCAATCAGCCGATGACTTATACCCGTCCAATCACAACAAAGCACGCGCCAAAGGGCACGTTGCACCGCGTCCTACTGCGAATTATCCCCTCACCGCCCACAAAAAAAATACAATACAACCCTCTGCAAACCAGCCGCACTCGTATGTGCTCGCTGGACGGCGTCGGGCGCGCCCACACGCAATTTCGACGAAACACCCGCGGACTCGAGTCACCTCATGGCACCGTCGATCCCGCCCCAAACGCCAACCCTTGCCCTCAACCCAGCTTAGCGAGACCTCGAGGCACCGGCCCCGCGTCCCGGTCCTCGAGGTGCGCCAAATCACCCACCGCCTTCTCCCATCAGATTTCACCTCGCACGCAATTAATCTCCTTCACTTCTTCTTAAATTTACTCGGATGACTCCCTCCTGCCAACTCCCTTGGCGCGCGAGATCCAACCGTCCGAGCGCGAGATTGTAGACATGCGAGTACAGCCCCCGGCCCCCGCAGCTAGTGATTGGGTTTCTGTGGGAACGCGACGCAAAAGCGCGATCACGATCGGGGTAATTAGCGCGTAGCGCGGCGTATCTACGCGCCTCTCTGCTATCTAGCCGCAGACAGACCCGAGCCATATCGCCTGGCGGGATCATCGCTGCAGCCTGCCTCGCTCGCGTCCGACATCCTTCCGCTTCGCCCGTGCGTTCGCTTATAGGGCGTTGCCGACGCTGCCGCCGCCTAATGCCCGCCCTCCCTGGACCAACGCCGCCGCATGCCGTGATACCCATCTCCGTCGCGAGACAAGTATAGCAATGCACTGGCATCTCCCTTCGCGCATCAGATTCAGGCCCTAAGCGTGTTATGTTATGCGGGGAAGAGCGCTGTCCTCCAAGCGAGGGCGAGGGCATCCCGCATTAATATTCCCTCGTGCCCTTCTTTCATGTCGCCCTTCTTTCACATTTCGCATGTCGGCGCCTGCCATACACCCTTCGCGTCTCTGCCTGGGCCTGACATACAAGCTATAAATCCTCCACAGCACATAGCACGCCTCGCCTCGCCTCGCCTCGCCCCCTGAATCTCTCCACATTCGAAGAGCGGAATGTCCGAATCCCCCCACATTCGAAGGCCGCGTGCGAGCATTGCACTGGAACGTGTTAATTAAGCTATACGCGGCGGTTCAATGTACGCGATGCTGTGGGGAAGGGCATCGAGGGTATGCGGTGGAGAACGGTGGAGTTGGAGTCGAGGGTGCGCAGTGGAGAACGGGGGAAATCGAATCGTAATTTCTACGCGAGATATTACAATGGTGGAGATGAAGGGCGCCGCAGAAGTGGAGAAGAGTTGGATTCGACGCTACGCGGTGGGAATATCAACATTGTTCTCTTCTCTCCTCAGCACGCCCCCGCGCTTCCCTACTCATTATTATTTAATAATTCCCACCCTCCCAAGTAAATGAATGCCAATCACCAACCATTCCCCAATTTTAATTTCTCTCCCCAGCTCTTTTCATCTGATTCTCCATGGACGTAAACCCCTCGCGCCGGATCACGCGCCCCGAACCTCGGCACGCCGGCGCGCGATCCGAAGTTCGAACGCTGGCTTGATTGGATATTCACGCGCTGATGGGAGCGTTCCTGATTTTCCAGCAGCCAGCACGCATCTTGAAAACCATTTGCTTCGAATATTAGACCACCTGAGGACGAAAAAACGCGAAAAACAAGAAAAAGAAATGGGACGATTAGAACGATGGCGTGCTCACCCGCCTCCCGGTACTCCCGTTCCGAGAGAAAAAAAAGGGAGGAAGGAATATAACTCAGGAAGGAACGGAAAGGGGTTCTCCGCCATCAGACTCAGATTCATTGAGGTTTTGCAGGCTGCGGCATCACTCATCCGGCGGGACTCCCAAAATTCTTCCATCGCATTAGACCCAGTAATGTCTGCCTGGCTCAGTGAAGACGTCCAAGTTCAACTTCCCGTTCGAATTGCAGATCCTCGTCAAAGTTCAAATGCACACTTGTAGCGCCAAATCGATGAAGGTTCAGAAAGCCAAAAAGAGTGGACTCACTGGGAATTGAACCCAGCACCTCCCGCATCGTTGATTAAGTAATCGAATGCGAAGCGGGCGCGATAACCAACTACACTATAAGCCCGGATGATAGCAAGGGCAGAGGACCGGGGATTACGTAGAGACAGCGTTACCTGTGGTTGAGGAAGAGTCAAGCAAGATCTCGACAATGAACTTGACGAATGTGTTCGCCTCGCCTCTTCTTTAACGAAACGGGCACGATAACCAGGTACACTATTGGCCAGCTCAGCAGCTGGGACCGGGATGCGAATAAGTAGTAGCTGGTATATCATTAGCTTCGTGCCTCAACATGAGTCATTTGCCCTCTTCAAGCCCTCTCCCAAAGCCGATGGATAACCGAAGACACTGCAAGGCAAATGCGGGGCATTGTGATAGGTGCATCTCGCCTGGGGTAAGGTCCGCTTCATTTCCAACATCCATCAGCACGATAACCAACTACGTTATCTACCAGTGGCAAGTGCCGGGAATAGGCTGAGATACTCTGCAGGATGGGTACCGTTAACGTGCCGATGGACGGTTGAGTTCATGCAAGAAATTTAGTCAGTCGTGTATCTCTGCCATGTCCATCTTCCTCGTGAATATCTCCCACCGAAGCTCGCACTGGCCAGCCGAACAGGTCGAACATGCAATGTCAGCCGACCGAATTACCCCAGGAACGAACGAGCGACTCGAACGGAACAAATGTAAAGTTAAAGCTTGGTGTTTGCATTCTCGGTGCCTTCTGAATCCCACTGATTATTTACGCAGCTTCCGTCGTTATTCGTGAATGCCCGGCAAGTCTCCGCATGGGCGGTGTTTGTGGTCAGCGCGTCGCCATAGGCTTGTCAAGTCTGAGCCCGGTGAAAGAGTGCCCGCTACTGGGAGGCGACCCGAATTATCCTGGGCCTTTCGTGCGCCTTCCGGATTCCGTGCTATGTATAATTAATAAGTTGATTTCTGATTCTCCGGCAAGTCTCCGTGGGAAGCCTTCCGAATTATGACGAGCTGCAGCTGATTCATAGCCGGCAAGTCCCAGAGTTACTGGTGTCTTGACCCATGCTGGCGCTCTGTGTGGGGGAGATTCCGTAAGAATCAATGTGCGGGTGCGGAGCTAATTCATTATCTGCAATATTGCGGGGGTTCCTCGACTCCAGGTTAGATATTGGAAACGGGATGGCGAGCCCGAATTATCACAAGGCACGAACGAGGGAACGAAGGTTGTTTGCCGTGTGCCGCCCGGATTTAAGCAGTTGGTACCAGTATTCCTGATTCCGGCAAATTTCCGCTATACAGAGCTATTGTCGCGTTGGGGCGGTGATTTCGCTATCCAAACTCGAATAAGCGTGCGCGTAAAATACGCTCAATATGCGACGATACCGGTAGTCTGCGCACGAAGAACGACGCCCGCAACAAAGCATAACGCTTACCAAGTTTCCCACTGACAGTTGATTCTCATTCTCCGGCATTTCTTCGGATGGCTACCGTTCCCAGTCGAACAAGTATAGGACCTCGGACCGTCTTATATCCGGCGAACCTCGTCTGGCATCGGACCACCCATGTCCGAGTCCTAAATAAGTTCAGCCCAGGTCCCGTCAGACACTTCTTTAATTTCGTGCATTGCCGGACGCCACCGCCCTAAGTGGGAGCGCCCCCCGCCGTGAAATCACAACCCTACGCCCTACGCGTGCAGGAAACGGCGTGGCGTGTTGTCAATGTACGGGGACGCGGACGGGCACGCAGTTGGAGAGAGTGATTCCCTTCCCCCGAAGAGGCTGGATTTAGCTTAGCGTAGCGCTATAACGAGGGGGCGAAGCCAGTTGTCTGTTCGACGAACGTGGATCCCACAGCGCATGAAGTGTATCCGGAACGAGGAAATAGATGCAGGGGCGTGGTGTACCCCGAAAGTCCATGTGCCAGTTGCATTGCGCGCGTCCCGGGACAGCTAGACGTGGGGAATTCAGAGGAAACGCTGAGTGCTCGTCGGGAGACGACGCGGATCACCCCCGCGCGTTCTCGCGATGTCAGTGCGGGTCCCCTCTCACGATGACACTGTGGGGAATCATAATGAACTGCGATCATGATCGATTGAGGCCTATCGAGGCGCAAAATAATAATAAGAACACCGGCTGGCTAGCGAGCCGTAGGGGTCGACGGAGATGAGGATTACTATCACCAGTATTGAGCCTGCAACCCACATAGTCCGAAGAGACAGGCTAATGCATGACGACGTACGAGCTTGACCGGAGCTTCGCTGACCAAGTTCCTGGACTGACGCCTGAGAAGCGCGAGAGGCGTGATCACGATCGACCCTCTCTGTAAGGAAATTTTCCGCTTCGAGGTTATCGATAGGTGTCGCCTGGGAGCGGTGTGTTAGCATTTGGCATATTTCCATAGATTCTCTTGACCGAAGGATGGTTTTGTCGGCTGGAGAAGCCTGGAGCTGAGGCTTCCGGGCCATCGATGGTAGTGTGGGTCGGACAGAGGTGCCCGTCTGGGAGAGTCTTTAATTTCGGTATCATTTGAACGTGCTGCGCACTGCCATGGTGCAGAATCGCTCGGCGGAGTCCTGACAGAGGTGAGCGTGTGGCAGGCTCCATTGACACAAGATGTACGAAATAGAAGGGTACAAATGGCCATCCGGAGTCGGGGATCTGCAAGTTTCAAGGACGGGAAGTTCCTTGTCGGAGATTAGCGCAGAGCAACTTGAACGCGCGACAACTCGGAAGATCATGATGGGCAGAGAAAGAGAATCGTGAGGCTGTGTTACTCTGATGCGCCACCGTCTTGCTGCCGACCGATGGCCGCCCAACCCAACCTCCATTGTCATCAAACAGGTGAACCCCTTTTTAGCCGACGATGTCTGATCCCTCTTGTACTATCTCTCAAGCTCCAAGATCCCAGTCTGCGTGGATGCATCTAGTAAATGACACAAGGTTCCTGTAACCGATTTAGGGAAAGTTGGAAACAGGTCTCACACCAACAATTATCATATTTAGGGCCCACCCAGGTGCAATTTGAACACCCAAGTGTCGAATTGCACATAGGTGGACCTGAAATTTAATTTACTTCTAGTACTTTTGGTCCCACTGATTTTGTAACCTAAAATAATAGAATAAAATTATGATTCGGCTGCCATGAAACCCATTCGAAAGCCTACAATTTAGATTACACAAAAGTCCAACTGAGATTGAAAACCGAAATCACACTGATGATGATCATATTTTGGGTGACTTGAAACTTTATTCGAAACTGATCCGAGAAATTTCCCATTGGTTCGGCATTTCCCGGACCAATGGGGAAATTTGCGGACTCGTTTCAAATAAAATTTCAGCTCACCCAAGATATGATAGTTGTTGGTGTGATTTTGGTTTTCAATTTCAGTTGGACTTTTGTGTAATCTAAATTGTAGGCTTTCGAATGGGTTTCAGGGAAGCCGAATCATAATTTTATTCTATTACTTTAGGTTACAAAATCAGTGGGACCAAAAGTACTAGAAGTAAATTAAATTTCAGGTCCACCTATGTGCAATTCGACACTTGGGTGTTCAAATTGCACCTGGGTGGGCCCTAAATATGATAACTGTCGGTGTCTACAATCAGCTAATCCAATCTCCGATCATCCCGGTATCTTCCGGATTTCCTAATGTGACCGGCAAGGTCCGAGACCCTAAGTCTAGACTCCTTCCTGTTCTCCTAAAAACAGCTTTGCTTTTCTGATCTTGCCCCGGCAAGTCCCGAGCTGAGTCTAGACTCCTTACTTTTCCGGCCTCTCAAAAACCGCTTTCCCATTCTCATCTTGCCGCAACTCCCGACCTGAGTCTAGACTCCTTCCTTTTACGGCCTCTCGAAAACAGCCTTACTTTTCTCGTATTGCCGCGGCAACTCCGGAGCCCTGGGTCTAGACCCTTTCCTTCTCCCGCATCCTCGTCTCATCTTGCAGCGGCAAGTTCCCACCTATCCGAAACTTCTTTTTCGGCATCCTGAAAACACAGCTAGGCCTCGTCCTTTTACTGTCTTTACTCATCAGGCCATTGTATGTAACATAGAGTGAGGAAACATCAGCAGTAACAAAATCCAAAACTCTAAATGCAGGCTGAAGCCTGAGCAGCATGTATTCCGAGTTCTGCAGCACAAAGTGTACACCACTGCACCCAATTTATGTTGCACTCTGTGTGAATTTGCATTCTCAGTGGTATTTGTAGGCAACACAGTTAATGTGGAGGCACTGTGGAGGCTACAGGGGTGCCCGGAGGGCCTTATGAATTGCATTATCCAAAATTAAACTTCGTAGCACTACAAGCGTGATTCTGGAACAAGTCCGACCAAGTCTGCCAAATGTCACCATCAGAATATCCGGGTGTGATGGACCACATGGACCAAAGAGTGTTGTAGTTCTTGCAGAGTCACATGGAATTTCGGCAACGTCGGGTACATTCAGATGGAAGGAAGATGGACCGTGGATAATTTGACGAGGAAAGAGTTGAGAAAACTCCGAAGGCGCTTGATTGGACATTCATACCAAAAGGTGCGAGGACATTTGGGAATTGAGAGAACCGGCGCGATTGATGCACGGCAATGATTGAAATGCACGGCAGCAACGGCGGCATCTCAAGCGGATCTTGATTCGGCAGGGTCACCATCAGATCGGGCCTGATGCCCGATCAGGCATTATTGATGTGTAACTTGGTGATGGCGGCCCACAGCGACCCTGAAGCGGTAGAAATACGGAGCAAGAATAGACACAGCAAGCAATATGTACAGAATTCAAAATTCACCCATCGAGCGTGCTGTTATGATTCGGCTTTTCAGATCCCGAAGCCGGATCAAACCGCAATCACGGGAGCCCGTTAACCCGTGATCACATCCCTATCTGTTTCATTTTAACTCCTTTCTGGTTTCAACTAAACCCCTTTATGTTACACATAGGGTATATTACGATTGGACTCCTAGATACAGTAGTATATAAACCCCAGGTAGAATCCCCTGTACTTTAGATTCTACCTTGTCTATTCACCGGCCTTGCTTTGGGCTGTTCTTGACCTGTGTTCAGCCTAAGCTTTCTCTGCTTTTGCTATCTCGTTGACTC